TTTTTGGTAGAGGTGAGTTCTCATCATGTTGCCTAAGCTGGTCTCAAGCAATCCTCTCTCCTCGGCTTCCCAAAGTGCTAGGATCACAGGCATGAGCCACCACACCCGGCCTATTTTTTTTTATTTTTGGAGAAACAAGGTCTTGCTATGTTGCCCAGGCTGGTCAAGTGGCCTCCTGAAACACTGGGACAACAGGCGTGAGCCACCGTGCCAGGCCCCTCATTGCTATTTGTAAACCGCCTTGGCATGGATCTGTAGAACAACGTTTGAGAGAGACGTTTCTCAAGTCAGTGATCTGAGGAGTAAAGAGCTCATCGGCAGGGTTATGTTCCAAGCAGAGGGCCAACAGGATGGGGAAAAACGTGAGAGAAAGTAACCCCCAGGAGCCCCATTTCCCATACGACACAGACAGACGGGCTCATAGGCGGCGAGTGGAGACCAGGAGGTGCAGCTGGGTCCTGGATGCCCCCTGGTTTTCCACGCAGCCAAGGGCTCTGCTCCCAGCTGCAAAGAAGAGGCCTCTGAGCAGGAAGCCTACCTCAGCCCCTGATCTTGGACAGCTGTGAGTCAGGAGCCCAGTGATTTCCAGCTCAGACCTCTGAGTCACCCTCCTGAGCAAGCAGCTGGAACAAAAGAGCGATTTCCCGGGCGCCTGCACTCGGGCCTGGTGAGACAGCACGGTGCGGGGGCTGGGCTCGCCGGGGCCTCCTGTCCTGGACCTCGACGGGCTCGAGGCTGAGGCTTTCTGCATCTCCAGAGGTCATGGTCATCGTGAGCATCACAGGACGGAGGTGTCAGCACTTAACACAGTGCCCAGAACATAACACGTTCTATTTGAGGGAGAAATTCAAACTTCACTGTTGCCTAATCTTTTTTTATTTTAAATTGGAGTCACCCAGGCAGGAGTGCAGCGGCACAATCACAACTCATTGCAGCCTCAACCTCCGGGGCTCAGGTGACCCTTCTGCCTCAGCCTCCTGAGTAGCTGGGACTACAGGCACGTGCCCCCACACCTGGCTGATTTTTAAATTTTGGGGTAGAGATGAGGTCTCACCATGAAGCCAGGCTGGTCTCTGGCTCCTGAGCTCAAGTGATCCTCCTGCCTTGGCCTCCCGAAGTGCTGGGATTACATGCCTGAGCCACAGCGCCCGGCCGTTGCTTAATCTTAAGGAATAATTCATCCGGAAGAACGCAGATGTGAGGGCAGCCAGATAGTTCTAGTAAAG